TGTCAGGACCAGGTTAGGGAGCAATTAAGTGTGCAGTTATGTTGGCAGATCTGAGGGGGCAGCTGGATCAGAAGCAACACATCTGACCATGCTCTAAATAAACATCTGTCCAAAGCCTCAGTCAAACAGATGTGGAGAAAAAAAATGTACCTACTAAGTCTTGAAGTGAAAATATAATTTACAAGAAACTCCATGTATCAAATTTTCTTCTAAGACATGCAATCACTAACTTATGAGATTATAATTTTCTACAGTCATACGTGAAGTATCTAGTAGATACTTCAGGAAACCAAGACATACTTTTAATGGATAAATCCATGCAGGCAAGTATTTTGTGTTCTGTCAGGACACTGCCAGCTCCACAGGGTTGTGAACTGCTTGCACCAGCTTGAACCAAGTCCATTCTAATCAGTTCTGCGTATTGCTACTCTTAAGAATTGAAAACTTCTGGCTTCAGACTGCAATTTTACGTATGTTTTAAAGCAGATAACTCAGTAATGCTACAAAAGAATTGAGTATTTCTTATCCTGCAACCCTGACTGCTATTTTCTAAGCCCATCTCTTGTTCTGGTACACGATTTTGCACAGAAAGAATTGATGCAGGTTAGTATGATGGGGGTGTGGGGGGGTGCTGGATCTGCTTGCTGGGCCACTTTACCACAGGGTGACACAAATGCTGATGCTGGCAAAAGGGGAGAGAAGGTGCAGAGGCAGGAATGAGCAACCAGCAAGTACAAGTCAGTCAAAGGTGCTTAATTTGAGAGCAGTGCTGGTCTAAAATGTACATGAAACTGCCTCTTCAATCTAACTTCTGGAAAAAGATTATTTAAGATCCAGATGACGTACAAAACTGTGAACCACACTGGATTACAGGAGAAACAGGATTTGTACTCCTTTGATTCAATTACTGCTTATGTGCAGATAAGATGCGTAAGAGCATGAAGTAATCAAAAAGCATTTTCTCATTCCTTTCTAATGTTCAACAACACTTCAGAGAACTTTAATCTCCTCTGTTTCAAAAACCAAAGTAAATAATGTATAAAAATTGTAATGTTCTCTTTAGAAATGGAGAAGTTCATTACAGACCTGACTGACAAAACTCTGTGTTAGACATATATATATAAATACACACACTCATACACTGTATGACTGTGTTGCAGAGTTGAACACTAAAAATTAGCAATTGAGCATGACCATAAAGAACGGAGACTTTCCCAACTAGTTTGAAAATGTACCTACCTCAGTTATCCCCCAAACACTTTTTGATTTGATTTATGTTCTGCTGCTTTAAAAGAAGAAATGGGCCAATATGAAATAATGCACATACTTGTATAGTGGATATTTATACCCAAAATAAACTTTCTCTTGGGAGAATATTTTTAAAGCAGCATTTCAAGTCTCCTGGCAATGGTTAGTTAGAAAAGTTATTTATTTATTTAGAATAAAAGTTCTCAGAAATTTTTTAACCACCAACATTTAGGATGCTGGGAGTAAGCCGAGTAATTCAAGTTTCTCCCTTTCCTCCAAATGACTTTTCACTGCATATAACATTTAGTATTCATACATGCAGAGGAATGCATAGTATGCATTAAGGCAGAGAAAATTATATTTAGGAAATGTATGGGCTATTTTACAAGAGACGATATGTACACACAAAGCAATTCAACTTACTACATGCTGTTGAGTCTAATAAGCCTAAAAACAAAACACATTGCCTTGTCCAATTAGACTTTCCTCTTGCACCTACATTTTTAATATTTGGCATATGAATATCAACAATTTATGATTTGCATTTTCTCCAACAATGAAGTAAGAAACACTGAATAAATACTGTTTTCCCTCAAGATATGTAGTACTTCTGTTATACAGACTGTGAAATGGAAAAACATACTTAGAGGCTGAATATGGTCTGTGACTCCTAATTTTTTCATTAAATGTAAAGAACTCTTTGCAATGATGCATCTGAAGCTTTATTCTAATAGACTGAAGCCCACCATTTTAGATTCAACCACAGATTTTTTTAAGGAAGTGGCAAACCATTGCTGCTAGTTGAGAAAATGAAAATTAGTCCCTGGGAGAGGATACAATCAATGGTGTGTTAATCTAACCTTCAGCTGTTAATGATTTGCACTACTATTTCCCCTGATGCTGTGGGTTCTGCTGAAATATTGTTTTAGCAGTTGCTGTCAGCTTTCCCTACCTTTTTTCTGCCTGAAAGGGAAAGACTGAAGTAAAAGTCTTAGCAACGGATTTTGCATGTGCTATTTTTTTTTCCCCCTTTTTTTTCTGACCCAGTTCTTTCACACCATGGAAGCAGAAGACAGAAGGGTAAACTGTTGTTTTGCCAGTTCAAGCCTTTTTAGCCAGTCTATCATTCACACTCCTCTTACTTGCAAAAGAGCTGTTACACTAGGCAGTCACCATTATAATTCTGATATTAACATGCAATTAAATAATTTAGAAAATCTGTATTTTGCCTGTTTCTTTCACATTCAGCCAGAAAGTTAAAAGATTTACAGAACTCTTTTTTTGGAAGGAACTGCTGAGGAGGGTCTTGTGTTTCCAGCCATGAGAGCCGCACAAGTGACCTGGAAGAGACTTCTTGTGCTGGTGTAGCAATAAATAAGTGTACCGATCCTGCAGATTTGCCTGATCCTGCAAAGTTTGTGTCCTTAAGGATCATTTGGTTCACTCAGTTGCAACAACCTTGCAAAGTAATTCTTATCCGAAAGAAAACTGCATAGCCTGCGAGCCAAATTCTGCAGCAAAGTACTGAGTGCCAAAATAATAAAAGTACTCAGCACCTTGCAAAGCTGTGTTCCACACACGCAACGCTAGTTTCCTTAGCAAGCATTTCTTCCAGGAATAAGTGCATCTGAAGCATTTTAGTATTCTTAAACTAAAGCCAAAAGGCCTTGCAAAACCATTCAAACTTACTTTACACGTATCTCTGTCCCCCTGTTTAACTTAATCAGTCTTGAATATTTCAGATGGAAAAAAAAAGTATTTAGCACGGTAAACCTGTGAAGTGTGTGACTGTCTAGAAAATTTGGGTTTAGTTGAAGAAGCGACATTTGAACTAATTCAATTTTAGCTGCATGCAAACTAGAGTAAGCCTTCATTAGGGCTGTGAGTTGGTGCACACAAGTCTAATGTTATGACAGCTTGAAGTACAATGAAAAATTGAATGTTTCTCCTTCAAGATCATGCTCTCAAGTCATTCAAAGCAACAAAATGGTTTGAATATAGGTTGTACACTAGCTGCAAAAATAGCTTCACAAAATTCTCAAATAACTTAGACAATACTTTATGTTTGAAGACATTACTTTATGTTTGAATATTTCTCATGCTGAAAGTTCATGACTCTTATTTGCAGATATATGAAAAGTTTGGGAGAGTGTCTCTAAGTGACATTACTTATCTATCAAACTCCTTAGGTTTCATCTATGATAGATAGTGGTAACTAAGATAATCCATCACAAGTTGTCTTTGTACCTAATTTAAGGCACAGACATAGACTTTGTCAAACCTTTTCTTGATTAGAAAGTTTAAAAAAAAAAAAAAATCAAGCAAATGTCAAATATTCAATAGATTACAAAGTGGGTGATTTACACATTTCAGAAAATGGGTGCTACTTGCCAGAAGGGATAATTGTTTTGTTGCTGTGCTCTTTTAATGTATTTTATCAATAACGTGGATTGAAAGAGAAGATTTCTAGTAAAATTTGCAATGACAAAAAACAGGGATCTGTAAGTAACAAAGACAACATTTCACGGATTCAAACTATTACAGGACGACCAAATGTACAATCCATGTATTTCTATGTGGCCAAAGATAAGAACATATTGCCTATGAATTAGGAATGTAAGCCACAGAACCTAAAAAAATATTTGGGGATGAAGGATGGCTCAAAGGACTGGGGATATATAAAGGGAGGAACAACAAGTAGAAATAGAGAACAAATGACTTCATTATTTGGCACTGATGTAGTAATTTCTGAAATATGGAGTGCACTTGAGACATCAACACTAAGAAGGCTGAAAAACTGCAGAGGATTCAGAAAAAGGACTGTGCAAATAATTGAAAGACTTGAAAATACACCATATAGTCAAATTCAAATAATGGAAACTTTTCTTCATGTAATGAACAGATTATATGAAATTTAATGGTAATCTGTAAATTCATACATGGGGAATAGAAATGTAATCCCATTCTAACAGAAAAGATGTAATAAAATCTATCATCTGGAAGCTCGTATCATGCAAAGGCAGATCTAAACCATGATATTCCTTAGAAGTAGTTAGAGCTCCTGAAAAACACTTAGAGCAATTTATATAAAGAATTTGCTGGATTCCCTGTTACTGGATATTTAGTAGTCCACAGTGGATATTTCTTTAAAACACAACTCTGTTCACCGTGAACTAATTCAGGTAAACCTTATGGCCCTTACATTGGAGAGTAGATTGGATGATCACGTTTGCAACAATTCTCTCGGGCATTAAAATCCACTGAAGTCAAACACAAGTTTATGACTGAGTTCAAAGAACTTTGATAGAATTGTGAATATGCATGTGATCCAATCTGGATATATGCACACAATTTTGTTTTTAAAAGCTAATGAAAATAATGTTTTGGTTTGTTGTTTTTGTTTTGTTTTCTTCTTTCTGAAGTTTAATGAAAGAAAACTCAGATTTTAACATACAGTCTAACATAAGATATGGTCAAGTCAGCTGAAGTCCCAGAATCAGCAAAAGGTGACAGCCAAGATCAAATATAGATGAATATCATTGGAGCTGGAAAATATCCTACAAGTATCATATTTAGCCTTATAGATTAGAAAGGCATTTACACTCTTTATGCAACTTCATTTTAGCAAAGTAAGATCCAGTTGCCTTGTTTAATCATTTTGGGTTAGCAATAACAACTTCAATATATAATTCTCTTTTCTTCCTTCTTAGTGATTAAAAACAACCTTAAGCTAACAGAACACGTATACTTACTCTGGCAGTCGAGACAGGATACCTAAAGAAAGAGAACTTATGCCATCATTGATCCGACCTGACAGCTTACGCTTCTGAACCCAGCTGACAGCAAACTCCAGCACAATAAAAGCAATGAAGAACGGAATACTCTGAAAAAGAGTTTGAAGAAAAGAAGTCACAACACAAATAGAAATAGATCCACCCTTCCTAACAGCAGTTTAGATAGCTGGATACTTCTCAGGCTGGCTGGCTCCTTACTAGCTACTACTATGATAAAGCTCCACATGGACCTTACGAATCAGAACAATCAAGGCTACCATTTAATCCACAACACCAGCATAAATCCAGTGCACTAACCTCCCCCCATATTATTTTCTTTCGTATCTTCTGCACATGAATTGTTAAATGGCATTAAAACTAAACACAAAAGTCTTTCCAAACTCATATTTCTCATATTCAAGTACATCAGCAAGAGCAACAACATTTGTGGACTCCTCTAACCACAAGGTAAAACAGAATTTGCTTTCGATTTGATATGTAAGCAGTTTTTTAATGTGTTCAACCACTGAATTTGGCATCCAACAATATTATCTGAAAGACATATTAAAGTGAGTTTCTTTCTACTCGGCATTTCTGCTGCCATGCTTTTTGCCGCAGATAGCAAGAGCTCTTCTGTATGCGTTTTCATCAGAGAACCCGGTAACTATGCAGCCCATTCCAATTTGGGCCATACAACATGTTCTCCTTCCAGACCAAGTAGCAATGATACAATGTTCCCTTTTTTCTTTTCGGTTGTACTAACTGTAAAATAATTTTCTGCCTTTCTGAAGAAAAGTATAATGATGAGTGAGACTGAAACATTTCTCACTCACAACACTGCTTCAGCCTGGGATTCAATTCACACTGTCCATCTTGCGTCCCAGATCAACTGGCAAGTTGAAAATGCACACAAACAGCACCCAGTAGAGACAGGTATGGCTGTGAGTAGTGGTAGGACTGGTCACATTATTGTGACAATACCATGTTTCATCAGTGGAGGAAGATTGTTACAGCTGTTCTCAAATTTCCATCAGCATAGGCAAGAAAAAAGGATTTAATAATAGTAATTGGTAAAGCATATGCTTTTTTACTGACACTGGAGTCTTAACAGTCCCTGCACTTCATTGGTGGAAGGAATGACGAGGCAGTACTAGCCTATCAGCCACCGCCACCAAAATCTAGAAGGCCTGTGGCAAGGAAAATAGGAAGGAGCTATTTTACTTGCATCAGATCTCTGTGCACGTAAGTTCAACTCAACTTCCTCCCTCGCTCTGCAGAAAACTTTTAGGTGGCATTGGAGGCATTCAGACAACTCCTTCTCGGGGGTATTAAGGCATAAAATTCCCACCATGTTTTGCAAGGCTAGAGAAGTCCAAGACCAGTGAGACTTTCTGCACCATTATGGGAGGCATCGCACTGCCAAACTTGCCCTGTTAGTCTTCTTTTGCTGCCCCCTTCAAGTGACCTGCAAACACATACAGATTCACAGACTGAAACCCTCCAAACTGCACTGCTGTAGAAGAGGGGCTGCTCCTGCCTATACATTTTAATGGAAGAAGCATGTTGCCTCTGCAAATGCCATTGCATTTTGGAGAGTGCTCATTTTTGTTGCCAAGTGAGATATGATCCGGGAATTCCTACCAGGCTGGGACACTAAAGAGACTAAGATGGATATAGACCAGATTGCTCAGTGGAAGAAGAATGGGATGATTCAAACCATGCAAGCAGTAAGAGATTTATGGCGTCTAGGAAATGTGAAAGTTCATAAACTTCAGCAGCTCAGGGTTAGGTTACAATAACAGATGAACAGAGATTAATATCAACATGGCACTTTTTAATTTAGATGCCTAGCTTGCTCTTTAACAGCATTGTAGGTATCTAAAAGCCTGTTTGGGATACACACTAACTGATGATATAAAAAACTTTGAAAGCAAAGGAAGACCTATGGATAAAGCCAACAGCACCCAAGAAAACCAATGTGGTAAATCTTTGGATATTTGAAATCTATAATAAATAAATAAATGAAAACCAAACCCCACAACCTTCCATTTGAAATCATTGAAACATTCTAGGAAAATATAAATACTCCTTGTTTCGCTCTAGCTGCTTCATTTCTAAGTAGACAAGACTTTTAATGTACTTTTCTTAATTTATATAATTAAAAAACAGATTCCTAACTTATCAAACAAAGGTTGATAATAAGCCAGATGACCACAACTGTACATTCCAGCAGAGATGAAAAGGGTCTTATTAAGAACAACGAAGAAACACTTGACCACAATATTAGGAGCCAGGTCTAGCACAGACTACAGGCAGTTTGAAGTTACGGAACAGCAGAAGCTGCACAGCAAACTGAATGGGCTCAGGGCAGAAAAAGTGGGATGCTTTATTCATTAAATGAAAATAGTGAGTAGGAAATATACGATGCCTGTATTCTATGTGGCAATTCACTTTACCTAGCAACCTCTGAAATGGTTAAAATACTGGACTTTATACTAATATGCACTAAAATAACTTCTTTCCCATTGACTTCATTAAATATTTTCTTCCCACTGTGAAGCTGTGAGACAGCCAAGCATTTGACAGCACTTTTTGACTCACAAATAGGGAGTGTCATAGCAAGGAGGATAGAGAAACATTCAGACAGTCTTAACCTCCTGCCCATCAAGGAGCCTGCAAAAGGGAAGATTTATGGCATACCTCTTAGTAGCTAAAAAATTACTACCTCTCTCCCACACACCCACATTAAGCTTTGTCCAAAGCAGATCAAAGGGATCAACTATGTCAAGACTAGTATGTATTATTTATGTGACCATAACACCTAACAGCTATTGTCATGGAGCAGGATTGTACCATGTTAGATGCCATACAAAGAGAAGGAAAAGGCACTCCCTGTCCCGAACAGCCTGCAGCCTAAGGATGAGATGTAAGACAGCAGAAAGATAATGCAAATAATTCAGGAAAAAAGGAGACAGTCAGTAAGAGAGACAACAGTCTCACTAGCCTAACCATTACTTTTGTTTGTTTGTTTAAGTTCAAATGACAGTGAAGACATTATAAGGAACCTGTGGAGGATAGGTAGCTCTGCAAAAGTTTTCAAGGATTGCCCCTACAAACAAAATGGCACAAAGTTAAGAAATAGCCATGGTTGGCATCACAGGTCAGAGACAGAAGCTGGATTCTTTCGATATCTTCTGGTCTATACATGCTTTACTTTCTTTCTCTTTCCAGCTTCCTTCTCTTCACCCATCACAGAAATACTTAACGGAGATTTGCATCAGCTTGTAGTTTACTTGAATAACTGATCCATAACTTGAAAGTCTTACTCTGAGCACTGAGTAGGAGGGGTTCCCTTATAAGTAACCAACTCTTACAGAATGCAAAGGACCATTTAAAACCAGTTTCTGCTTTATACAGTTGCAAAAAATAATACTCTAAGTTGAAACTCAGCATAAATTTATGGTTTTATTGCAAGTCTTGAAACAGTTTCTGTTTTCTTAAAGTCCCAGGTCCTTGTAACATAAAAATCTCAACTTTCATGTAAAACTAAATAAGAAGGTCTGTGACTCATTATTTAGAAGCAAAGCCTAAAATGTGAATTGAGTGTAAATGTGAACTTAATCTTTAGGCTCTCAAAAGCAGAGAGTAAATAGAAAAGAAAAACAGTGATTACCAAATTTAAAGCTTTCATTTTGGGGGCTCACAGCAGAAGAAACAGTGCTCTCTCTTGAGTCTGACTCATGAAAGTCTTTACTGAACACAAGTGATAATTTCAGAATGTAACAAGGAGCAAAGTAAAGTTGTTGCTGTTCACGAAAACTATACATGACAAGCAAAAAGAAGCACTCCATCTGCCCATTTATAAAATATGAGAATTAAAAAAAAATGGCATGCAGAGCATAATCTTATATCCATAGCAAAAAGGATGCTCGTGAAAGGACAAGGCGAGCATCAGTGTATGTTGTAAGAGTCAGGATGTTCTGCCCTGGAGAAAGAAAATTGACTTCTGCTTTCTCTTCTCTTTCTAGAAATAAGGGAAAATCAAGGGTTTCAAAATCTACATGACAAAAGCTCACATAAAAATAAATTATATGGTTATGATGCAGGATTTGGACACCTTTTCCCAGAGTTTTGGAGACTAATTAGAAGGGTGATTTTTCCTTGGGAACTGCTGCAGAGCTTTGTTACTAGTCACTGAAAGCTGAGCAGTCCATGTTTTGAGCAGGACTTGGGGCCTTCATGTACAGAGCACAATGGAGGCACCAGGATCTGTCCTGCCTCTGAAAATGGAAGTAATACAACCACAGCCAGAAAGTACACCGCACAAGTTAAGCTAACGAAGCTATTCTGTTCTCAAAAGCAGAGCTGCTTCACCCACTGCTCTCTTTGGCTGCCCAGATGTAACAGCACAGATAGGAGTAGTTCCTTTGAGCTAGAGCTATGAAGTGCATATATTTTGTAAATCACCAAAGTGCTCAATTTTGCAAATCACTAAAAACATGAATATTTGAGTGAATTAGGAGGTTCTGCCACCTGCCTAATGTTGGAAGGTGCCTATCCCCACAGCTGTAGCCGTGTGATCTAACGTACTAGAAATACCCTCATCCATCTGAAACACGTGATAGATCATGAAGCCAAAATCTAAATCCAACTTCTATATGGTGTCTCAGGAAAAAAAAAAACAAAACCAACACAAAACTGTTTAGGAGACACTAATGTAATCAGTAGTTTATTTCATACCTGCATCATCATTGTTACTGTCTTTTAGAGTGAATTATTTGAGCTAAGGCCCTCATTCATTACCAGCTCTACACCAGAAATTTTTTTGTTCTGTGTTGGACTGAGCTCAGACATCCCCTTCTGTTTGTATTTGTACCAACTCAAGGGGTTTCCACTCCAAGCCCTCCTTGAATGGCTCATCAGGTCACTATTAAATCTAGCCCTGCTGAATCAATGGATCTGCTGCTCTTGCTGTTCCCTAAACAGTCCAAAAGAGGCTGCCAGACTAGTAGGTCAAATAGAAAACAGTGACAAGCAGCTGAAGAGGGACTGTAGATAATGACCTTCTGCCCACAAACACATGGCCAGACAAAGAGGTACAAACGGCGCCTGAGCTCAGACCAAAGCTATAGAGTTAAGACCGCTATACCACTACAAGACTTTTACACACCCACCTAACCAAGCATCAAAAGACCTGTTCTGGCAACAAATGCACTATGGGGAGTTTCTAGTACAACTAGCCCAAGATAGCAATAATGGGAAAGTATAACCGTAATGGGAAACCTTTTTTAGCGTAGTTTTTTGCGAGGTACATATTCCCTTACAAACTTATCACAACAGAGCTCCACAACAGTAGAAGCCTGCAGGCACTTCTATAATGCAAAGAAGCATTAAGAATCCTTCTGCAAACTTTTACAGCTGTATGCCCAGTAGCAGAAATTCCAGGTTTGGCCAAGGTCTGAGCTGAATATTGCACAGGTCTGCATGGGAGAAGAAAGCCCAGGGATGTTAAGGAATGCTGCTGGCAAGAAAGTGAATGATACTCTGTTGGAAATAGGGGAACAGTAAAAGGGATTGAGATAGGCAATAGATAGAGCTGGAGGGAGAGATCAGCTGACTAGGCAGAACTGTCAAGCTCCAGACAGACTTCCTCGATCATGACATTACAGCTCAGTTGCAAAATGCCTCTGAGGAAAGCTGTCCATCGACCAGACACTGCACGCACAGGCTGGCTTTGCAGCAGCTGTCTGCTTACCCTGTCCAAAAGGGCAAGGTTTGCTGATAACAGCCATCAGCGAGGGGCTGCTGCATACTGCCGTTCCCAGAAAGCTGCTGACAGTGCTGCACTGCTCTGCGCAATCCATGACACCCCCATTGCAGGCCAAAAGCAGCTGCTGCACAGCAGTCCAAGGTTTACCGGGCAGAGGAGCTAGTCAGAGCTACCAGGAACCGTATAAAAAGTGTGGATCTTCAGCGAAGCTGGACTGAATTTACTTTGAAAGGGGCACAATAGTGTTTATCTGCTGTCTCCATGAAAAGCTCACATCGGTTCCAGGCTCAGCAGGAGCTGGGCACCAAGATATGTGCAATAGGTAGGACAGAAGGGAGCAAAGGTACCTTCATGGAAGTGGATAAGCTGGCAGGGCAGGAGGGGAGGGAGGGATATGCTGCTGCCTGCTGACAAGAGAGTTCTCACCCCTGACCTCTGTACTCTTGCCTTGGAGCTTTAGGAGACAGCGCTGTCCCAACACAAATATTTGTTCTCTATTCTCTTAAACAATCTTTATTTTTTATTTTAAATAGAAATTTTTATTTTTCTTTCTTTGACTGAGCTTGTAGCACTGGCCTTAAGGGCACAAAGAGACCTGACTTTTTGCTTGCTTTAAGAACCATAACAGCCAAGCACAGTACCGTGTTTTCTGGTCTACTCAGTTCAGTTTGCTGTCACTGTATCCAGCAGCACTGATAATCTGAACAAGGTTAGCATCAAGCCTCAGATATTTGGGGTGCTTCTCTGAAAACTTCGGCTCCTGGTATCAGGAGAAAGCATCCGAGCCGTCATTTAAAATACACTGGAGTGCGCGGTTACATAGGCAGCTTACACAGGCAGCTTGCAGACAGAGCGCCCAGGCGCGAAAGCGGTCCGAGAAAGACAGGGAATTTAAGCTTAATTTAGGTGCCCTTTCGCGGACATGGGTTCCTTGGGCCGCCCCTGGCTTTTGCAAAAAGGCAGGCGGCAGCTGCGCGCAGGCTGGGCGGAGGAGCCGGCGGCGGGGGCCGGCGGG